ACGAAACTCATTTCTCAAGATAAAATGTCGGCTGATGTTTATTAAACAATTATGATTGTTCAGGTAGATAAATGGATAATTTTTTAACTAGGTTTTTCCTTTTTCCTCCAATTAAGTTATGTGTCAGTTCCGAGTTAAATGGCGACCTTAATAACGCAAGATAATTATAAATTAAATGGAATGACTGTTTCAAAAAGGTACAAAACTTAATTTCAACTTGTTTTCAGATTTACATGATCTTAAGGACCAAAAATATCCCTTTGTGGCCTTCAAATTGTACAAAAACAAAACACGTATGTCACTACAATTTTTCACACCCTGTGCAGCCCATTCTATTGTTTGATACCCATGTTTAACAAACTGTTGTTAATTTAATTAGTAATACACCCAACACGTAAACATTGTTTAAGTACTATTTAATGACTCGAGAACATATTGAAATAATGACAATATAAGTACATGCCGTAACAATAGGATAATACAAGATATTTTTATGTACTATGTGTTTAACGCACACAGTCTTTAAGTTTGCGTAACGATTAAAGTTTTTATACATCCGACGAGCAAAAAAGTCATAGGACGTTGCTTTTTTTTATTTGGAATATTATTTTACAAAAACAAAAACGTTAACATAAAACCGTTACAGCAAATATTTATGCATCACCAATCTTTGAAAAATATCTATCAACTTTTCCAAGTGACCAAAACCTCGCTACGCAGGGATAGGAAAAAACCAACAATTAATGACTAACCAATAAAAAACAGTTAAATAGTACAATTAATTAATTACTAATAAATTAACCGACGGGAAACCTGCGAATTGTAATGATCATCATAAAAAATAAGTCATAATTCTTTGAACAAAACTAGACCTATTTCATTCTAAGAAATATAATGACAATATTTCATGTTGCTTACGGCCTTTTGGAATGAGCAATACTGAGCATAGATTTGGGCCCTAATCCTTACTAATATTATAAATCGGAAAGTGAGTTTGTTTGTTTGTTCCGCTTTCACGCCGTAACTACTCAACCGATAGCTTTGAATTGCAGACGTAAAGTTAGAAGTCCAGATTAAATAATAGGGTACTTATTATCCCGGAAAAATTTGATATTCCCGAGGGAAAACAAAAGTATTGGTATAGATGGCGCTGTGTATATCGTTATATGTCACATAGGCTACTTTTTATCCTTTTGTGACGCGAGCGAAGCCGCGGGTAAAAGCTAGTAAAATATAAAAGAGATTTTATTCTATACACAAGAAAACAGACCATCTTGACAACATACCACCATTAGATGAAGCAGATTCAGAAATCAGCATTTGATACTTTGTACCCAAAAGTTTAGTCAGCGGTTTGTTAGACAAAGATCAAAAACAGTCATTACGTGTTAACCCTAATAAAGGTATGACAATGACTTTACCTACTGAATTTTACGCTACTGGTAATAGGAAAATGATAGCTATCACCATATCACATTATAACAGGACCTAGTTACTTAGAACAACAAAATACTGCTTGAGACAAATAGTAAATACACATTCAAATGAAAGTGAATTGAAAAGCCTACGTATGAAATTCATAAAAAGCTTTGGCATAAATTAACAATGAGAATCCCATACGTATCTTATATACCTATTCCACTAGTTTATAATTGTTTCAGAGGTCAATCTAGGCGACCTAGCCCTAGCTAGGTTTTATGTGGAATTTTGACATATTTTGAATAGATCTAAAGATAAAAATTTTAGCTCTATTAGGCAAATCTGCTGTCAGAGAAGTTATTGGAACTGTCCATAAGAGACTCTAAAACGGAAAGGATCATCAGAAAGAATGTAAAGGATATCCAAAGTGGAAACAAGGCATTGTCAACAAAGCCTTTGAAAGTGAACAACAAAGATGTTTTCAGACTTCAGCCGAAGAACGTCACCATCAAGTTTGCATTGGATGCATGAATCACAATCACAATATAGTTTAAAACAATACAAAAAACTTGTCATATTTTTGTATTGACTTCTTTTTAAACATTGTTTCGGTGTTTAGTTTTGAACTGTTAAATTGGTTTACTTTTTGCTGTGAAGTGAATCATATTAAATGAATGCACAAAGTATGTGTACTAACTCTGTACAAGAGGTGATTAAAACTGTATATTGTCCAATGTTCATGTTTATATTTGTTACTCCCAAATTATTCTGTTTCTAAATTCTAAAGACAGCATTAATAACCATAGCAGCTTATTGTACATCCGATATTCCTAAATGTCTACACAAAATGTATAATCCAAATTCCGAATAGCACGGCCCACCCAGCAGTAGTAATATGAATTCAAATTCACGAAACATGAAACTCAAATACCCAAAGGTAACCCAAAGCATTAAAATCCTCATATTATAAAATTTACTAAAGAATACACTATTTAAAGCTTTAAATATAGCTAGAAAATTAAGGTTTCTTTGAAATGTATGCACATGCATAGCTAGTACGATGGGACTAAGGGACGGATCGCGACGTATCGATCGGTAAAAGAGTCGAACCGTTGCATGCAAGATACTAAAAAGGTAGGTATGAACAGAGTGCTTATGGTAGAACAGGTAACTTAATGTTGGGTGGATGACCGAATTGAAAAGTTGGGGATAATCTATGGTAAAATTTGGAACACGGGACATCAATGTGTTTTAAAATTAGAACCCTGGAGTATTTTGCTAGTTCTGTTCTGCTTCAAATGTATCTACAATTTGAAACAACTAAACAGGTTGTTTGGTGCATCTTGAAATCGTCTACAGAAGGGGTCGTCTGCTAACCGTTCAGGCCCTTTAACACCCCTCATCCTTATACCCCGTGGCCGTAGATTTTTCGACCATTTCAATTTGACACACGGTGCACCAAATACCCTGTATTATTCTACTAAGGAACCGATAGATAAGCTAATTTTATATTTTTGTTTGACGTCATAAAGTACCTTTCTGCATGTTATGGATGTTATGTAACAGCAATCATAATTAAGTATGCATTTACTATTAAAACTTCTAATTGCGCCGGCGCATAACTAATAATTATGCATAGAAGTACATAAGATACCATGTAATTATTATAGCCTTGTGGTGGTTGTCCTCAAACGCTGTAGAAATCATTTAAACATTTAAGTTTACTTAATACTTGTTTAAGAAAGTTATGAAGAAGAATGGAAATTTGTGAAAGGATGACAATTGAAAAAAGGGGAGAGTAGATGGGAGAAGATATTGCACCGACCCCAGAACCGCGGAAGACTTAATGGATTGCCGGGGCTCCGGCTCAAAAAAGGAGTAAGAACGGGGTGGTATTTAGTCAGTAAGAGACTGATACTTTCACGTCACCCAAGGCGGGAGGATAGTCATAGTCATTGGATGTTTCTCCCCTTAAAAAAAGTAATGGCATAAGAGCCGAAAGGTAATTAGTTGTTTAGGTAGTCCTATTTCATGCATTAGGGACAACAAATGTTTAAATAGACCTTATTCTCAATTTTGCACCAAGTTACTGGACCTAGAAGTAACTTGCTAAGTGACAATAAATGACAGAAAGTGATCGAAGCACAACTTCCACATGCATAACATAATAATATGTTCCAAACAATATTGCCTTATTATTGTTTACAATATTAATAGGGTGACGGACTAGCAAAAATATTGCGCAGTTTATACATAATAATAGTGTTATATGTATTGATTGAATATTTATTCATTCAGCTGGGTTATCGACCCGTCGACCCATTCATACAGATTACATTGACATTTCGTGAGAACACCGTTTATGAAAATTTACATGAAATCAAATGATTGTAAAAAAATAATAGCCAACATGAAGATTCGTGTTGTTTGATTGTATTGAAATTTACTGTGATGCAATTCTGTTTTTGTTAATGCTATAATGGTGTCGTTCGCTCAGGGCTTTGCGAAAATAGCTGAATCAATTTTAATTAATATACGTAAGGAATGGATGGGACTTCGAAACTGTTCATGGGTTACTTTTTTAACAATGAAAGGGTAGTAAACGGCCAATTGGTAAACAAAAGAGAATGAACGCCATAATATGAAACCTCGCTTCATTTATAATTCTCCAATAATTAATCTCTGCATAGACACTCTTCGATTGAGGACAACCTCTTTGTCATAGTGAAACCATAGACACTTTTCATTTTTAACATCTACATTTTTCATAAAACTTTACTGACAATTTTCCTTTGAACTTGCTCCGTTCGGATAGCTATAATTATTTTTGGCAGACCTAATTGTATGGCCAGGGTTATCGCCATTGAACCAACCGTTACGTGTATTGTTTTGTAAATTGGCCACAGTACCATGTAACAGTAAACATTCATCAAACCTTTTGATTCGAAAAGTTGTAGGCAGAGTTAGAGCATTAGTACCTACATTAACTTTTCACCCTATGTTATAAACTTCTTTGTTATAAGGGTCTATAAGTTTTATAAGGAGTAAACTGCCTATAGTTGTGCAGGGGTGTGATTAAAAAAGTTGTTTTCAAACTACATACTTTCTATTTTAATAAAGAGTGATTAAGAACGGATAGTTTTTTGTTACTTTCACGTCAAGTCTATTTAGGAAAAAATTAAAAAAAATAGCTTTTAGTAATTATTCTTTATTTTCGTACCTATACCAGAAGCTAAAGAGAATTAATCTATTCATTAATGAAACGCATATCTCTTGCAATAAACGTAAGAAAAACTATAAAACTTAATGTCCTTCCATTAAAACGAATCACGTGACACAAAGCGTAACTGCATATTACACCATAGCGGCATACTTCGTAAACACAATATAACTAGCGAGAAAACCTCGATCAAACTAATAATAAACTAATGAAAACGTAACTTCTAAGTACTTGATAATTATTTACTGGAGTACCTCCTTTCATAATAACATAATCAATGAACGATTTACACAATTTTGTTGTAGAAACACTGCATGTTATGCTATTATCAAACTATGTTTATACTAGACTATAAACAAACCTGGACTATTAAATCCGTCAACCAGGTCCTGATGTCAGGCGCCGCAGTCGACACCTCAGGCATCATCGTCGTCGGAAAGTCAAACATGTCGGTAACATTCATTTTGAAAAAAGTTTACTTATAGGCTGTTCGTAAAATTTTCTTCGCACAAAAAAAGCACTGTTCCGTTCCCGCCAAAAGTACGAACTGTCACATCGCGCGCCGATGAAAGAGTGTTAATAAAAACTGATAAAACTATCATTTAAACATCATGATAATATAAAATATTTCATAAAGATATTCGTCATGGACGGAGCCAGTTGTTCGAGTGTAGTGCGGCGATAACACGCGACCGCGCGCTTCGTGATTCGCGCGACGACTACTTACAACATAAACTAACTAAGTACTTCTACCAGAACTACAGGAGCTAGAAGTAAGTACATATACACCTACACATTTTCCCAACAAATAAAATTGAGTCGTTGCCAGAATATATTATTTTTGGAACATTTTAAACTGTCTGCCTATGGATTTAATTTGTCGTTGTTTTGATAAAAGTTTTGAGTGAGCGCAAAATATTTTCGTTCATAACATTTTCGCGCTGTTTGACGTCAGTTTGTCTACGGTGGAGAGGAAATCGTGAAAATAGATCGGATGACATATCAGACGGTCTCCCGTCTGGCAGGCCCATTATATTTTATTAATTTTGCTGACAGAACTAATTATAAAGGCCTAAGTCATGTGCCAAATTATCGGTTGATGATGAGAGATGATAATACCTCTATAATAGATCTTGTTTGACATTATCTACTTTTATCAGCTACATACCTACATGGAAATCTGATAATACGTGATTACAATAGGCAATCCTTTAGACTTTCCACTACATACATTAGTCCTATTTAAAAATGATAGAACTACCGGTAGGGGGAAGCCTTCGACTTTTCTCTGCGCTCTTCTCTTAACCTTTAAATCACAAAGAATTGTGTTAGTGATTTTTATTTAAATATTAATTAATTAGTAAGGGCATCGCTGGTTAAGCCAACACCTCTTGCTGGGCAGCTTGAAATAAGCCATTGCGAAAAATTACAATAAGTCCTAACTAGAATTTGATGCATAGATGGACTCGTGTATACTGAATTTTCGGTCATTTATTTGAAGACCAGACCAAATTTTATCTTCCGTCTGCGGTTTCATAGAACCATACTGTATAGAAATTAGCGTAAAGCTAGCAATAAACGCCATTTACGGATATTTTAATAGGTACACAGTACGGTGGCAATTATATGCGTACACAAAAACATTTATATGCCAATTAACATTTATCAAGGTAGTGTTTTCTAAATATTGTTATAATCATGTCCGGTTTTAAGGACCAAAGAATAAAACTTATCTTAGCCAGGAGTCTTATACTCCTGGCTAAGTCATAACTGTTTGGACAAACCGTTTCTGATCAGATACGTGAACTGATACATTTGGATGACCATTTCTGTACCTTGTTCAGAGAGGTGACTCCGAGTCAGAAGCCACAAGAAAAACAAAGAACTTTGAATCACCATTATTACGTTCAAAAAAATACTAACATTCAGTAAGTCAAAAATCAGTGTTCCCACACTTAGTTAGAAAAGTAGAAGGAAGGAATTGGACTTCTCATTAATTCATGAGCGTCTGCGAAAACACGGAAAATAGGAAAACATGTACTAAATATTAATATTACAGGCTATATTCTCTCAACTGGCTTGGCCTTGGATATTCAACCTTACGATCATTGATTGATTGATGATCATTTAAACAAATCTAATATTTGTTTTCTTTACAAAACTAACTCAACGCCACAGGAAAATGCCGATTTAAAGAGCTATGTAAACTATGTCATAAAGAAAATGTATCTCCGAATCGTATGCATGTACGCGCATATTGCGATCGCGAATGAGTGCACCAAATTCTATTCTCTTTTTGTCGTATTCGTTAAACTGGTAAAATTAGAGAATCGGTCTAGAGCAAGGCCGGGATGTGCTGCTAGTTTATAAAATCTTATATATAAAAATGAATCGCTGTTCGTTAGTCTCGCTAAAACTCGAGAACGGCTGAAACGATTTGGCTAATTATGGTCTTTAAATGTTCATGAAAGTCCAGGGAAGGTTTGAAAGGTGAAAATAAAAAATTTAGGCGGTTCGAAGTTTGCCAGGTCATCTAGTAATTCAATAAATTACGTATGGTTCCAATAACAAAATGCAGTTTACCGTTTTAAAGTCCTGTTAACGATTTATCAGTTTTATCTATTGATAAGTCTGGTAGGTGTTCTGACGTTAACTGATTAGGAACCCCTCATGATTAGTTGCATCGAAATGATCAAAGTATAACAGAAATTTAGACATTATTGACAGTTTATCGTTGCTATAAGATGGGTTACCATAATTGTTGCGCTTGGCTATGGTAGATTGGAGATTGCCATTAAGACTGACTGCCAATAAAAAACTGTTGAAGGTAAATCCTCCGCTAACGCCGGTCACCAGTGACCTCCATGGCGTTGAACGTGTTAAAAAAGGTAATGATGCTCAAAGAGCGCTGCAGTGCAGTCTTTGTAACATAGTCTGTATAGTCTACATACTTTCTTAGTTTAGTCGGTCATTACGATACGACACCCGCGGGACGAGTGGACTTGATACACACAATTACACATATAAGTTTTCTCTGCCGTCACCAGATTTCCATCTTCTCACGTCATGATTCTTACTGAACTAATATTATCCGATGAGAGAAATAGGTCAGCACAATTAAGGCAGGAACGATTAGTCATCCTATAATCCGCTAATCAAAATACCACCTTTATGACCTCCAAAAATTACATCGTTATTTCCCTCAGTTAATAAATGAAGCGGTGGCACGAAGAGCCAAAATAAATGAGTAATTTTTGTAAGCCCTTCGCAAACGAAATTAAGGTAAAGACGCGACAGGACTTAGTCCAAATACTACTGATACACTTTGTATGGAGCTCATGTCAAAATTCTATCTCTAGTAAGCAAATCTAGAGATAGATAGGTTATAGAAACTGGACGTCAGTAAACAATTGTCAAAATGGAAGTTCTAAAGGCTATGTCTGCAGTAAGGTTAAATAAAGAATTATACGTTTGCACATAACTCCGAAACTGTTGTACCAAATCGGATATTTCCGTTACAATTAGGACAAGGTTAGCATGAGAGCAAAATCAGAAATAACATAAAAGGCTAATCTGCGTCAGGCAGGATTAAAGAGATTGTTGAAATCGAATAAGAGGGAAGAGAAAAGCCAGAAGTGGGGACATTCCATTAATTTTGCCTGTTCTAATAAAAAACTATATGTGACTACATGTGAGTCTGAATGTGAAGGTGTCTGATTGAAACGACGTGCAGCACTATCCATTTTAGAATACTTGGCAAACGTTTACAGTCAAAACACTAACAGTAAAAACTTCTCAATTTAGGAGCATGTTGATGTAAACCATTCCAGAATTTTATTCAGAGTGCCTTCTTTAACAGCTGTTGATTTAAAGCACATAAAAGTATATTTTAAGGCATAATCTTCGTGGGAAACCACTGACCCTGAAATACAAAGATCGCGATCACAATGGTAATCATTATCTGAGACTTGTAATTTTGGACTCTCGAGTGTACGTACCCTATTCAACGGTCATTTTAAGGGTAGGCTTACCTTCCAAGGTCATTGGTTTCCATGGAAACAGTTTTGTACTCGCATATCCACATAGCCCACAAGTTCAAGGTTTGTGTGATAAAGACAAAGCATCGCGATACCGAGGGAATATTTTAGTGTAGACGGTTTCGAATTCATTAACTTTTCGCGTAGAGTTCGTTTGAAAAGTAAATTATTTTGCGATGAATACTTTGAGTAAAAATCACGTAGCCAACATGAAGATAATCGTCAATAACAATAAACCATTCTTAGTATCATCATTCTTAATATCATCGGAAGCGCAACACATATATTGTACCAAATATCTAATAATAAACTTTCATATATCTCTCAAACATTAAATTCCTTCAAGGTAAACCGGAGAACCTAACGGGTTACCGGGGCTCCGGCTCGAAGTGCAGAAGAAGGAACGGAGTGGTTTTTAGTCAGTAAGAGTCTGACACTCCCTCCTGCCTCACCCAGGCGGGCGCAAACATTCGATGATTTTCCCCCCTTAAAAAAAAGTGTACAGGTATTTGGTGCCACAATGTTCAACAAAAATGTAAATACTCTTCTTCTATCTCTACCTACGAATATAACAAGCGTCCCGTCCTCAAATTAATGAATAACCTTCGACACATTTGTAGTAGACCTCGTTTTTGTCCCTCAACGTCACTCTATTTTTGCACGTACGCCGCAAAGGTGAAAGCGCTACCTTCGAAACATTGATAACACCGCGCTGTAAATATAAATTGCTGTCTAAGTATAAACATCTTCAGTCTAAGGACCAAGTAATTTAATATGTAAACCGCCTCAAGTATAATTTCTAAAACTGACAATGTATTAGTTGCATAAAAGGACGTTCAATAAAAGCGGACATAATGTCCATAAGAAATGATTGAAGCACCAAAATATTAAGTATTCTATCATTTCAAAGCAAAATAATAAGTCTGTGGACCACAGACAAGACTTCATTTTTCATTTTTTAGCTTTTTTTATTATGTTATGTGTGTTCTGCGCAAGAATAAATGGTTTTTCTTTCTTTCTTTCAAAATGTCAGTCATGTGTGGTTACCAGACTTAAGAAAATGACACATGTCCTTCGTGTCAATGTGTGTATGTTCTATAAGTAAGTTTATAGTAACCACAGGTGGTGCCACAGTCGTTGTTTCAAGAGACTGTGGCTGTCTTTTTTAACCTCCTTGGTTGCAAGTATCTTACAGAAAGATATGGGCATTTTCCTTATGGACAAGATAATTTAAACTTCAAGTCAATATTAAGTTAAAACAATTATAATGTACTCTTTTGAAATGATATCGTCTGCTACACAATTCTCCCTCACTTGTATTACTTAGCAAACAAAAGAAAGTTTAGCTGAGTATTCAGGAAATAGTTTCAATTTTAACTTTTCCAAACAATGCACCGTTCTGCTAAATAAAACATCTATGAAGCAA